ATTATGAATTATTGATTATATTTGCTACACTTTATTTATCAGCCACAAGACAAAATATAGTATTAACAGATTCCACATTTCCACTATTGTAATTTTTATTGAATTGTTCGATTTCATTGACATGATATGTATTCAATTTTATAATCTATGTTTTGAAATTAATATATTGGAATGAATTCTTCATTAGAATTTCCTTTTATTTTTAACGATTTCGACAATTATTAACAATTGTAATACCATCGTAAAACTAATTTCAACATAAATTTAACTTTCACTTTATAATGAAAATTCTTACAACAATAGATATTGAAATAAAAAAACATTTTTTAATTGAAATTTTGAAAAAATATATTTTTAACAAAATTTTATTGTAGTGTTGTCCCTCCATTGAAAAATTATAACGAAAATTATAATACTAGGATATCCGTTGAAATTTCAGAGAACATTTTACTATTGAATTTTTTATTTAAATATAATTATTATTTTTCACTCGTATCATTTAATACCCACTAATATTAAGTCCAAATCATTCGAAAAGACAAACTAGTATATGAAAGAAATGATTGATATATAGATCAATCTAGGATATGTGGGAATTAGTAGACACTAACATAACATCATTTGAAAATTGAAAGACAAACCATTATATGATAGATATGGTATTGGTTGGTATATCAATTCTATAGATATGTTGGTATAATTCACTGAATCCACTAAATGAAACAAATCGGTTGTGAGTTCCTTTCAATTCAGGTTATTAAGGTTCAAGTTCAATTCAATTCATTAAACTCGGCATGAAAAATAGATTATTATTTTTTTTAATTTTTTTACATTTTTAACATAATTCTCGTTAAGGATCATTAACGAACTGAGTTATGACGCATCAACTTAATAACTCGAACTCTACGCAACTCGATCTCGAGCCCGAACTCGATCGATTATCAGAAAATCGAGTTCAATTTGCCTCATTTACAACTCTATTAATATATTAAATTGTAGGTACTCCATAATTCATCATCCGTCATATTACAATACCAAATACCCACATTAATTTGTTCTCGTCCAACACACACTAATCTATGTTGAATTAAGAAATTAATTTAGAATATGTGTTGTGGATTTTCTAACGAGACATATATTTTGTAATTTCAGCCTAATCTTATTCTTTATTATGCTTAGTGTTTTTTTTTTTATTATTATGCTTAGTGTTGACTAATTGAAGCTAATCCAGAAATAACTGCTTTAGCTTGCCCTAGTGACTTGTACAATAGACTTGTATTTATTTCTTCGCACATTTTAAAAATGAAATGATAAGTCCTAATCCGTCACGGCACCACAAACTGTTTATAAAATTAAATATATAAAAAAATTATATAAGATCTGTG